TTTCGCATGTGTAAGTTGTACATTTATCTTCGGACTTCCCTACTTCGCCCGGTTTTTTGATCTGCCGTTTGCGATGCATGCAACCTGGACACATTCTCCGCAGCAGCCTGGTTGACTCCATGTATTCCCAACCCTGAAAAACGCAACTTTATTTGTTTACGAATGGCGCGTTAAAGACTAAAGGGCCGATCTATAAAATCTGACATATCTATTTATCAACTTGCTAAAACTCAACATTGCATCCGTTTTCACATATTTAAAGACCAAAATTTGTAACACACATCTCCTGATGTTCGATCTTAATTATGTGAAGTCCTCGTCGAAGTAAATAGCTCCCTCTTCCCTATGTATCACCCATTGTTGCAAGAACTTGGCTTTCGTGCGTGCGCGCTTTGAAATCGTGGTTTGGTGAGCTACGAGGGTTACTACGTTAAGTGTTTTAATATTTACTTCGACGAGGACGGAACATAATTACATGATCAAACGAACTTACCTGTAAGTGATGTTCGATCTTAATTATGTGAAGTCGTCGTCGAAGTAAAATAGCTCCTTCGCTAACTATGTATCACTCAATGTTGCAACAACTTGGCTTTGAGGAAAATGAAGGTTTATAGATGGCCAGAGGGGGGAAGGTAGAGGAGGCGCGGTGCCACTTTCATTCGCTGCGTGCGCGCTTTGAAATCGTGGGGTTGGGTACTACTACGAGGGTACTACGATATGTATTCTAAATATTTACTTCGACGAGGACTCACATATTCATATTATTGTTTAAAAGCCATTCCAAAAATCAAATTTCTACTCACTTGGCGCAATCCGTCTTGCATGTTTGTATAGATTCCTGTTTTGTTATCCTTGGTTTTCTTTTGACACATTTGATGATCTTGCATTTATCCCCATCAGGTGATGGCCAACTTCGCCAACCTAAAGAAGATTCAGTGAAATACTATACAGCGTGTTTCCCAATTGAAGGTCGATATTTGAGGGGTCCAAAAGATAACTAATAAACGAGTCTTATTTAAAACAACAATATCTACTACAATTAATAAATTTAACAATATTATAGATCGTTGTTGATACATAAATGAAATAATAAAAGTATTTTTTTAAAGAACTGCCTTCTAACAAAATCATTTTCATCACATGGTTGTGGTCACTGATTTTTTAACTAAGACTAGATAATTTTTTTTGTTTCAAAAAGAAATTCTCGTTTAACAAGTGGCGACTCCCTTAGTATAACCCTAAATATCATTAAAAGAAAAATGAAATTGTATTCATTTTGTAGCACGGTTTTCACCGAAAAATAAAATCTATTTCTATGCATGGTGATATTAACCATATTTTTATGATCATGTAGAGGAACGGTTTTTATTTTTTCGTCGATTGAATTGGGAACATCAAGTGATCAAAATAAGTAGATGAAATTCCGGTCGAAAGCCACTGATGAAAATTAAAAAAAATGGGCACATTAAAAAATGTATGTTGATACAAACTTCACGTATGCAAAATTTCATTGAAATATCTAAAGAGGGAATACAGATATTCATAAAAAACGATTAATTTTTGAAAATACTGTGTAAGATTTGCACAGAGTGAATTGTTTTTTTAGTGTGAGTGTATAAAGAAAATACAGCGTTTATTGAAATATTTTTTTAAATTAGGACTGTACTTAGATACCTGGTAAACTTGTTCCCCAACTTTGCAAGCAGTGCAACATATTGTTTACAGCAATCTCCTTCTTGTGGAGGATACGATTTGAAAACATAGTTTTCTTCATCAACCGCGGGACAGTTCACAACTAATCCCTGGACAGCTATCTATAAAATAAAAAGAAACAATTTATGAATTGTTGAAAACGAATGTCGTACTTATTCTTGATCGACGTTATACGATTGCAAATTTAGATTTGGCATTTGTCAATAATCTAGAAATTCCAGCCATGTTAACTTTCATAACTAATGCTATGAACTTCCGATCTGTATCTTGCGTTGCATTAGTAAACTTACTTTACTTTAATAGTGGCGCCACCTACACTGTAGGTAAAACCGCGGGATAAATGGAAATGTCTGTTGTGAAAAGTACTTACACTGCCATTTCTATCGCGGCAAGCATAGTTACGCAATAATCAGCAGACGTCCACTCCTCTCCAACTTGATAACGACTCCATCGCGTACGCAGGCGACTTGTCTGCAACTTCCACAACATTCTTTCTGTTCTGTATTTGGTTCGAAGTACTTGTGTCCTATGTCGCAGTCTTGTCGCAATTCTTCACTCGTGTTTCTTTCATTATACCTGTGGGACGGGGGAGTTGTTGGATTTGAACCAAAAACTTAGTAATTAAAGTAGTTATTAGTATTTCGAATGTTTAGTTTACCTTACTGTTTACAAAAATTCTATATTTTCGATGTAGGTAAGTGCTGATTTTTCAGTACTGACTGACCTACAAAGACGTCAAAATGACAGCCTTTTAAGACGTCATTTTTTAGTAATGACGTTTCCGACGTCATTTTGGTGTCATCATGTCCACTGGGGAACTAGTTCGGAACTGCTTGTGGGAACAACCTATAAAATATGATTATAAGATGTTCTCTTATATCGTTTACCTGTTGATGTTTTGGACACACTCCATAGTTGTGCAGTAATCTCTTCCTATAGGCCACTTTTCACCTATATGATGAATTTTCCCGTTATATTTGCATGCTACTCGTTTCACTTCTGGGCAGCACTGTTCGAAAATCGGCAAAAGCGTGAGTTCATAGTCCTGGTAGTCAGAATGTGTTCTTACAGATGGGCAGTCGGTTCGAGGAGCAAGACGGTTGGTAGTTACCTAGACAAAAATAAATAAATCTGTTACTCCATCTTACAACTTGAGACTTAAGAAAACATATTTTTTAGCGAAAATACGTGAACAACTTCTTACATCCTCCTATTTGTAAGATATAACAAACAAATATGAAAAACTGTCCAACCAGGGACATTGGGAAGTGCTTGATATTGGAACATTCTAACACATATGGATAAATTATTAATAACATACCAAATAAATATTCAGCACGACATTAGAAACACTTTAATAATAGTTTAAAGATAATGAATAACATCACATAAACATAAAATTGAAAAATACCGACTTTGCACTATCTTTCAGATATATTTGAATTGAAGCGAAAATCAGCGTTGCCAGATGGCTCAAAAGAATTCCCCCAGAGCAAGCAACGAAATCCCCCAGATTTGCAACCCCCAAATCATATTGCAAGTAGTCGATGGGGGGGGGTGCGTGCGTAGTTGGAAGACCAGGTGGGTAGGGGAGGAATAAAATAAGAACTAATAATTTTCCAACGAATTGAGACTATTTTCCAAACTTGTGCAATCGTCTAAAGTATATTCAGATAAGAGATAGACCGGACATAACAAGACCACGTGATCATCGAACGCTGTAACATTCGGCAGGGACGTATTAAGAGTCACGCAGTACATATTTTAGATAGTAGATGCTGCTTTGCGTAACTTGTAGTAAAATTAGCACAATTCGATGTGTATACGATTGGTGATGGATATAGGATCATGTGGGGGTGGGGTAAGAAATATATAATGATGTAAATATACATAAGGGTTTCAAAATTTTCGCTTCGATTTCCAGCTTCAGATGCCGCCTGATGTTTGGTGAAATACAGTCGAATATAATCTCAAAATGGCGTTTAAATTAGCCTAAATTAAAAATAATCGTATATCTCTAAAATTGCTTTTAGAATATTGATTAGTATATTTTTGATTTCTAGGTAAATATGTAACCAAATTAAAACGTTCAAAACGTAAAAAAATGTGCATGGTTCAACATTGTCAGAAAGTAGATTCTTGAATAGGTTTTTGCCAAAATTTGTTCAAAAATGTCAATAATTAATTAAAAAATACAGTAGCTTTATAATTACGTATTAAAAAATGAATGATCAGGAACCTGAAATATTCGCAAATATTAATATTAACAAATTATAACTTTATAAAGCTTAAAGTATGAATTAAAATGATTAGAAATATTAGGAACGGTACACAATATAAAACTTAGTAACTTTTTTTAAGTTTAAAATATTCGACATATTTTAAGATTATATTAAAAAATTATTGAAATATCGAAAACACCTAAAACATGGCTTAAAAAAGTTCTAACAAATGAAAATGACAATAAAACATCCACGCATTTTATCGAAGTTATAAAAGTTTGTTACTTGTAATATGTTTTATCTGCCCCCTGGAATTAATGTTTAGAACCTTGTTCCCAAGGTTTGAAAAACATCCGATTGTTGTCTATTACTCGTATTTACCTGCTGGATTTTTAATCCGGTGGACAGTCCATCTAGAAAGGCCCTCCTGGATGAAGTTACAGAATCATCAACCCATACTTTACTTGTAGTGTGTCCTGCGTTTACCCACGTTTCATCAAGGTAACAAATCTTCCTGTTTTGATTTCTATATTTCCCAATTTTTGTTAAGTAATCCCTCCTCCATAGCACAATTTCTTCTCTATCCAGTAGTAAACGATTACGACCCCGTTTTTTCCATTGAAATTTAAATGCTTCAGTAACGCATGGAAAGTTGATCGTTTGAAATTTGGCAACGTTGTATCTCCATTTACCTCCTGCAGTACTTTATCTATAGTAGGTATTTCATTCCTAAAGAAGAATTCATGCACTTCCTCCTAATCGCATGCTTATCAGCTTCATCCAATGATTTAACAATACTTTTGCGATGTTTACTGGTCATTGGCTCAGAAAAGGTGCGATTTTTTTGTATTGTCTTAACACATTAAACACTGATGCGCGACATACCCCAACTTTGTGAGAAACCTTCACAACAATTTCTTTGATGGTTGATGCCTCGTTCTCCTCGCGCTCGATCTTATATATATTCAAAATGACCTCTTTGATTTCTGCACTCAGGTGTCTTTTTTTAGAGCGTTTCCTAGGTGGACTACAGGAGTTTACAACTTCATCGGCAGTATCTGTACTACTGGGCATTTGCGCAAGCAGTTGATAACAATAACAATCAATAACAAGGTATAACAATAACAACGACAAACTCAACAACTTAATAAGATAACAAACGAAAACGTCCAAAGAAATATCAAATTGCAATGATGCACACGACATACGTAACACGTCTGAACCTGAATGTGACTCTGCTTTGATACGACTGCTCTGCCGCTCGGCATAGGCATTTAATTGCGAATTGACCAATGAGGGCTCCTGTTTTACGTCGAGACGGCGGCGTTAGCGTGAAAATCACTCGAACCTTTTGTTTACATCCGGTCTATCTCTTATCTGAATATACTGTAGTTCTTTCTCCTGAAACACACGTTTGAGAGAAACATATCCAAATTAACCAGCCAGTTTGCAACATATTATCCTGATGTTTTTCTGCGTTCTATGTCTATGAATGCACGTCTAACGACCTACAATTGACATAAATGTGTAGAGATGGATCAGGGGTGCGTCATCACTTGGCAATGTAATATCGTACACAGTAATGGAATGTAGATTGACAGATCAAATTTTACTTTGAAATACTGTAAAACTTTACTTTTAGAACGTCTAAATTATTACAAAGCCATGTAATGACAGCCGACTAATTTCTAACCACGTTTTATGCGACCATTGTAGTTATTATAAGATACTCTAGGGATACGAGGTAGCCCTTATCATGAAAAATATATATTACGCCAATTTTTGATAACCAAATAAAATGAACAACAATGAACCATGAGAATGACAAGTGAAAACTCTTATTCCCAAAGTTTCGAGATCGGGAAGAAAAAACCACTTTTGACGTTCCAGAAGGATTTCTTTGTTGCACAGAAGACAGTTTTTTATAGTTAAAGAAGGAATAAAATCCCCCAAAAATGCCTAACGATTTTATTTTCCCCAAAAAAATCCCCCAAAACATTTTATCCTCCAAAAATTCCTCAAGTGACGTAAAAATCTCCCGAATTTGGAGGAAAATCCCCCAATATGGCAACCATAGTCAAAATTTTGATCGATATAGTCGCTATCTGTCGACGAAGCAGATAATTAAGTCTGATATCAAAATCTGTATCGCATAAATTACATACATACGCTAATTCAGTCACAGATCGTTAGATGTCGCTGTGTTGATATAGTCTGCAATCTACCGCACGCGGGATAAATAGCACCTAGAAATCTTTACAGGTAAATGATATAGTTATGCTAATTCAGGTCACGAACCGTGAGATGCTATGCTATTAATCTCGGGCGCCATCTATCGAACGTAATAGGAGCAACAATCTAGAAACCTTTAAAAAACAATCATCTGCTGGAATAAAAGAAACTATGAACAGAAAACTTCTTCGTCGTTCGCAGCACGTAAAAATCCCCCAATATGGTAACCCTGGTCAAAATTTTGATCGGTATAGCCGCTAACTGTCGACGAATCAGAATATTAAATCTGTATCACATAAATTACATACTATGCTAATTCAGTGAAAGATCGATAGATGTCGCTCTGTTCATCTAGTCTGCCATCTACCGTACACGAGACGAATAACAACCTTTAGGAAGATTCATCTGCTGGAATAAAAGGAACTATGTGTACAGTCTGGGAAAACTAAAGATTCGCCGATTTTGGACTGGAAAACAATGTTCATATTGCTTTAAAATAAACTATCAAAATACTCTTCAAGGTCTTGTAGAGCAAGGTCAACTTTAATTTGGACACTTGGCGACCGTAAAAATTATAATTTTTAGCATAGTTTTTGAACATTGAATATACGTATACCCGCATGGTAACCAAGATCAATTCATTTGAACAAATTTTTTAAATAAATTATAATACTCTTATCCAAAATTTTTCGGGTTTTTGGGTCATTGTCAACACAAAAGGCTTTCATTAACTTTTTTCTAATGCTGACCATTTTCGAGTTATAGGCGATTTAGTGTTTGAAAAGCCCTACATTAAAGATTGAACCTTGCTTCACAAGACGCCGAAGAGTATTTTGAGATTATTTTAAAGTGATTTTAACCTTGTCTGTTGGCGACCTTTTGGTTTTCTCAGACTGTACGTTTGCACGTTCACCATACTTTAAAAATCGAAATTGCGTGGTCCTTAGTCCATTCAACATTATTCATAAAAATTAAAAACTCGTAAAGTGAACTAATAAAAGAATTGTTTTATATATTTTCTAAGCGAATTCCAAAAGATTTGTTTTTGGGATAGCACTTACTAGGGTACCACAGAAATGGAAGGATCCACATTAAACCTCCTGTCGTCGATCTAACATAATAATAGTTGACATCATATTGCTGATGATAGTAATGATGAGGTAACACAGTCGCGAGTTTCAATCAACCTAAAGTAGGTAAAATAATTTTCATATACGTGCGAATAATCGGGTAGTGTTATTTCTTGATTAGAAATATTTATCACTGTACAAAATCTTATTGTTGGAATATGAATACCGAATATTTGTAAACACCTAATAACAATAGGGAATTGCTACAGAAAGCTACGTTCAATCTTAATTTTTATGCTTGTGCGCTATAAAATTAGGAGAGTTCATTGATAAAAAACGTCGTCAAGTGGGTTGACTCTTCCCCTACGCAACGCCGTCATCAGTTCATAAAGGATTAAGTTAAGCGGAAATGAAATCCCCTGATAAAAATTGAGTTACGAACATATACAACAGAGAAATTAAACGTATCAAGTCAGTCAAACAGGCCCATACATTCTTTCCCTGCCCTACTGGTAGTTACCGACCATTTGGCAACGTTGTCCCTTTCCACATCTGCCGGTATCGCTGCAGTGAGTTCGTGTAAGGTTTTTATGATTTTTGCTCTTTAGTACGGATACATAATATAAGCCGCACTGGTACGCCAGCTTAGATAGGTAGGAGTACGCGGATCGAAAATATGTCTGTATCTTTCTAAGATTTAAGGCAAATGTACGGACAAATGTATGGCGTGTATAAACATACTAAGGTTAAGAAAATTCATATAACCTCCCCCACCCCCACAACCCCGAATTTCAACCGTTACAAATTTTTTTTATCGAAAACGCAACGCTATTGGCGTTCAATCCTTTGTCACTGTCGTTGATTGTTAACCTATCAGTTTGATCAGTGCCACATAGCATTAGTTGACGCGGAATCCGCCACTGATCTGTCTAACTACAATGTGTTACGCCCCTTTTTCAACATAGGTGTCCAAGTTTGACAGTGCAACGTCGGAAAAACACCAAAGACAAATAGAAACGTTCACAGGGTTGCCATATTGGGCGATTTTTCCCCAGATCTGAAGAATTTTTACGTCCATTGGAGAAAATAAAATGCGCGTATCGTTTTACGTTCATGTGCAACTGTGACTCAAGAAATAAGTTGGTGTGACAAGTTTGAAAAACAGTCTTAATTCGTTGGAGAAATATATTTTTTATTTTATACCCCTTTCCTCCCCTCCGTAGTCTTCCAGCTGGTCAACTATTCCAACCGGTAGATTCCTCTGGACTACTGAAATATGATTTGGAGGATTTTTTTAAGAAAGTTGCAAATCTGGGGGACTTTTGTGCTTGTTCTGGTATAATCTAACACTTGAACTATAGGAGACAAAATGTACAAAAAGCAATACATAAAATGACTTACCAATATCGCTAATAGAGCATTTACATTCTCTACAAGGCCCATCGTACCACGTTTCATTTGCATTCTTCAACAATTTCTGCTTTTCGAACTTTGTCAACAGTCTTTCTCCTCCTTTGGTGGCTGCAGTATACATCGTTTCGTAGATGCACTTATCTTTGGCGGTTCACAGACATAAACTGGACAGCATTTTTCTGGAAAAAATGGAATCAAGTAGATTGTCTTATCAAAAAAATATAAAAACAATTAGTCGTGTACTTTGCAAACTATAGGCTTTAAAACGTGGGACACCAACATCCTGTGACGATCTTTTAGTTGCCATTGCGACAAATTTCAATTTTTTTTCAGACGATGTGAAGGATAGTGTCGTCTACGTTGTGACAGCAAGAATTAATTCGTGAATGTATTTATTAAATTCCCAACTAACAATTATCACTCCTATTAGAGTTGCAAGAATGATTATACAGTATTCCTTAAACAGCATTGTATACTGTAAGAACATTGGTAAAACCCTCTTAGAACAGCTATACAAGCGGAATGGGCACACCTAATAGGACACTTCAGTCATTTAAGAGGTTGTATAAGGGTGCAGGTAACAGTTATACAATAAAAGTGTAAGCCTCTTGCAGCCGCTATAGGACCTTTGCGTCAGTGCAAGATTCAGTTTTGTCAACTATAAAACTATTCTGTTACGTGATTCTACTTTATTGCAACCAAACTATTTCTTGTGTATTGTATAGACGAAGTGAAGAATATATAACTAACAGACTGCAGTCATCTTGTTTACTTACATATCGGCCATTGTGAATTTCATACACAGGTATATGATAAACTTCTACACTGTGATATAGGGCTATTGCAGATCATCACATGGTGTATATTTTCCCGATTTTTGATGTTCTTACCTTCTCTGTTATCCAAGGTCTTCAAAAGGTGGTACTCTGGACACTCCTTGGGTGGAGGACACAGCTCTCTTTGCAAACCTTTTTGACAACGGGGCAACATCCTGAATCATCTACCTCCTTGGCGTAACCGGGTTCCAGCGTAGATGTTTCACCTAAGTCAACAGGCTCGCAGTCTTCCTTCGGTTTACATTCGCAGATGAACGTTTGGCAACCGCTGGGCTTTGTGTCGAGTTTGAGGATTTGCCCTACACCACAGACTAGTTTTTGGGGAGGCTCGCAAGTTGGGCCAGCAGTTGGTTCGGGTACTGCAAAGATACAGAATTCAGTCTGGTATCTCTTATATAAATGAAGACTTGAAACTTGTCTCAAAATGGTTAGCATCTAGCAGACTAAAATTAAATGCAAGTAAAACGAAAGCCTTGTTAATCGGAAAAAAACAATGTACAACTGTTCAACTGAATATTCATGGTGAAGATATTGAATTCGTAGAAAATTTTAAATACCTGGGGGTTTTTGTTGACTCTCGATTAATTTTGATATTCATTATGAAAAAGTTATAAATAAGATAAATAAGATTAGTAGTAAAGTGGGATATTTATCGAGACTTTCTGGATGTCTGAGTTCATATAGCAGAAACATTATCTATAATATTATCATTCTTCCAAATTTCTTGTACTGTTCGACTATTCTATATTAGCAAATAATTCCATTTTTGAAAGACTGCAAATTTTACAAAATAAGTGCATGAGAGTAATACTAAATAAAGATAAATATACTCCAATTAGGCAAATGCTTAGCAAATTAAAATAGCTCAATGTAAAAAATTTTATCAAATATCTTGTAATTATATTCATTTATAAAGTAAAAAATAATATATTTCCATCAACATCATCAAAAGTATAACATATGCTACAAATCTGTATTTCCATCAAGGGTTGATTGAATATATACTAAGTGACATATAAATCCGAACACCCAGTTTAAATGGTTTTATTTTAATAAAAGTTGGTGAATGTATATTTATCTTACTGTAAATAACAAGTGAAAAAATTTTCAGCCTTATCAATTGGACATTCCGGTTTTTAAACTGTTTTTTTTTTAATTCACTAACGCTCTAAAAATGAATATTTCAGCCGCAGTAAAGAATCAACGTTGGCGGATTTTGGTTCTTGACATCCTTTACGATCGGTTACGATGCCTAGAGTACGGAGACCTGTACGATGTCGTCAACTTAGTGAGTTTGATAGGGGCCGTATATTGGGACTTCGGGAAGCTGGACTTTCTTTTCGGGCAATTGCAGTTAGAGTGCAAAGAAGTGTAGACACTGTGGTTAGGTATTGTCAATCATGGCTTCGAGAAGGCCGTACGCAAAGAGCAAGGGGCACTGGACGCCGCCGTAGAACAACAGACCGTGAAGATCGCCGCCTAAGATTATTGTCCTTAAGGGACCGTTTCTCCACTACCAGGTCCATTGCAAATGAATGGTTTGCAGAACACGGAAGGCCTATTGGCATGCGAAGTGTTTACCGACGAATGAGAAGTTTTGGCTTGTTTTCATACCGGCCACACTGGGTCCTCCCTTTAACTCGAGAACACCGACGTAATCGCCTTGAGTGGTGCAGACAACGGTCACTCTGGGATCAGGAATGGAACAGTATTGTCTTTAGTGACGAGTCTCGATTTTGTTTAGGCATGCACGATGGTCGTGCCAGGGTTAGAAGGCGACGTGGTGAAAGGAGGAATCCACAGTTTTTTGTTGAAAGACATGTTCATCACACTGTTGGAGTTATGGTTTGGGGTGCTATAGCTTATGGTTGCAGGTCACCTTTAATCTTCACCAGAGGTAACATGAACGCGCAGCGTTATATCCACGAAGTTCTAGAACCCCATCTTTTACCCTATCTTGACACCCTGGCAGATCCAACTTTCCAACAAGATAATGCCCGACCACATGTTGCAAGAGTCACAATAGACTTCTTTCAACATAATGATGTCACATTGTTACCATGGCCACCAAGATCTCCCGACTTATCCCCAATTGAGCACGTGTGGGATATGATTGGTAGGAGATTGTTCAATTTGCAACGACCTCCTCAGACTCTAGAAGCACTTCGAGAAGAGTTGGTGGTTGCCTGGAATGAGATACCACAGGAGGACATTGACCACCTGATCAGAAGCATGCCTAGGCGCGTTGGAGGATGCGTAGCACATCAAGGTGCATCCACACATTATTAAAGGTCAAAGGGCTTTAAAGCAGTGCAATCATTTTGAAATTTTTATCATTTATTTATTATGCTTCATTAAGTACTTATACAAAATTTTATTAAAATAAAACCATTTAAACTGGGTGTTCGGATTTATATGTCACTTAGTATAATGAATTATACTCAGAGATAAAAGACCAGAAAACTTTGACAAAATTTAAAGTAAAATTGAGAAATCACTTGTTAAATCTACAATTATAGGTTCCCCAGCATTTACATCATACACCATATGGCTTGAATTTACTAGTTCTAAGTTGTTTACAATTATTCTGTTTATGTACCCAAATGTGCTAAATAAATCCTTCTACTACTACTACTAGTACTTCAAAATGTTCAAGATGTTACAAAATTTGGACGATAGGGTATAAATCAGTGACATTTTAGCATGCCTTTTTTTACTTCTGAGCAGCTGAGTAGGCAGAAGCCTAAATGACAGGGTACCGCGGCTACTATGAGGAGCGTAAACTTAGTTAATCCGATTTTTGAACTGCTGAAAAATTGTGAATGTACGTAGTGTCACATATATAGACGTAATATTTTGAAAGTCCCGAAAATTTTTAAAATCTAGAAAACATTGAACATTTTGAAAATCTTATAAATTTTGAAAGTTGTGAAAATTTTGGGAATTTTGGAATTTTTGAAAATATTGGAAGTTTTAGAAATTATGAAAATTTTCAAATGTAACAAAATTTTGAAAAATTTGAAAACTTAGAAATACTGGAAATTTTGAAAAATGCAAAAAATTGAAAACTGAAGATTTTCTAAGTTTTGAAAATATTGAAAGATTTGTGAATTTTGAAAATATTGCAGAGGTTTGGAAATTTGGAAATTGTGAAAATTTGACAGTCTTGAAAATTCCGAAAATTCCGATAATTTAGAAAATTTTGAAAACTGAAAATTTTTGTAATCCTCAAATTTTGGAAAATTTGAAAATTTTAAAAATATGAAAAATTTTGTAAATAAAGGAAATTTTTGAAATACTAAGCATTTTGAAGTTTCTGAAAATTTTGAAAATCTTGAAAATTTTGGGAATTTTGAAAAAGACGAACATTTGAAAACTGAAGATTTTGGAAATTTTGAAAAAATCGTGCAATTTTAGGAATTTTGGAAATTGTGGGAATGTCGATTTTAAAATTTTGAAAATTATAAAACATATTTTGAAAATCTATAAGCTTCCAAACATGTACAAAAATTCCAGTGTCCAGTGCTGTAAATTATCAGCCACATCTCTACCAGACGTAAGTTTATTTTGAAGCTTAGAGAGGGTCATCAGCTTCCGCTAATTCCTTCAGATAAATACATGGTGTTGAGATGACACTATCGAAAGAAAAGAAAATATTTTGAGAAATAACATACACACTCTTGAAATAGTCGGCAAACGCATCAGTAACACCTTGTGGCGAGTTAAATACGTACGTAGAATTATTGTATATCTTTGGGTCAAAACTGTGAATGCTACAATGCATATCCTGAGCCCGAACCTCAAAATATTCAAGATGTCACAAAATTTTGTTTGCTTGTTGATTCGTTGTTAGACTTACCGCAAGTATACTCTTCACAGCACTGCTCTTCGCTAGTGGGTATCTTGACAGCATTATATCCCTTCTCGCAAATCTTCGGTCCTGAACATTTCTGAGTGTCGCATTTGATTTTGGTGCCTTCGCAAGCACATGTGGTACATTTGTCTTTTTTCCACGTGTCACCAGGATGATGTCCTTCATCGTCACAGACTTCGCAGTCTTTGGGGTCTACACAGGTGTCGTTCAGGAATACCTACGAGACAATATAGAAAACCATATTTTCCGATAACATCCTATAAACCTGTATATGCCAAGCAAACTTGCCTACTTTGCGACAAAGTAGCAAATATACAACATAGTTGTCAAAGTATTTTGCTCTCTTCATACAAAAAAGCCTATTCACAAACTCACCTGTCCTTCAGGACAATAGCATCCCTCCGTAGGCAT